CCCCCGAAATGGCTTAGATTGGCTGGACGAGCGTCTCATGCGCGTCGCGCGCCAACTCCGACTTTTAGCGGGGCTACAAGAACGCCTGCCAGTCGCCTCTCGCCCATGAGTGGCAGAGAAACCCACCAATCATCTCGCAGAGAGGAGGGGGAGACGGGGCGGGGCCACGGCGAGGGCCCATCAGGGCGGCAGCCCTCGGAGGGCGCGCAGCGCAGTAGCGCCACTGCATTCAGCAGAGCGGTTGACCAGCGGCTAATAATAGGGACTAGAGGGCAGCAGCGGTATCGTTCCAGCTACAGCGTCAATTGGGATAAGTGGTCTCAGAGACGAAGGATTAGGGTGAAGGGCGAAGGGACAGAAGCAAGGCCTGGAGCTCCCAAGACTGGTGTAAGGCTACAGCAGTTTCCCCTCAGAGCACTAGTGCCTGGGGCCAGGGGTGCAAACCCTGCGTTCGGGTTTAGCAACCACAGCAAAGGGTGAGTGGGAGGACAGAGGCTAAAGCTCTCATAGTGGCTACAGGATTTTCCCCCTAAGCAGCTGGGCCCAGGCTGCAAAGGCCCAAAAAATTAAGGGATAGGAACATCTGCTACATAGTGCGCTGGGGGTTGTTCAGTGTGGAGGAGAGAAGGCTGAGGGGGATCTGATCCATATGTGTGAACAGCCGATGGGAGATTATAAAGACAAGCAGACTTTTCTCTGTAGTGCCCAGTGGCAGGACAAGAGGCAATAGCACAAACTGAGACACATGAAACTCCTCCTAAACTGGAAAAAAAAAAAATTAGGATGAGCTCTGCTGTATTGAACTGAAAAATTAACAGTATCTTGAAATCAGTCTGAATACTATTTGGATACTAAATACGAAAATATGCCAGACACAAACATGTTAGGTTCTTGGAAGTGGGAAGTAACATTCCTTTAGAACTACAGGGGGTTTTTTTGCCTGTTGGTTTGGTTTTTGGTTTTTTTTGAGAAACTGAAGCCAACATCATAATTATAGAGGAATCCAGTTCTGCAAAACAGCAGTCTCAAGTTACTGTCTACTGAACATGGTGAACGTGCTGTCAATATGGGCAGCAAAAAATCCAAAGGCATGCAGCAGTGAATCTCTCCATGTTTGGCACACGAAGGACAGCAATCCTTCAATCCTTTACAGAGGAATCCATGTCTCACAGAGCAAACCACACATCTCTGTGCAGCTCTATAAACTTCTCTGTGATACTGCAACTTCCTTCCACATCACCTAAAAACGGTAGCCTTAGTTTATGAAAAAACCCAACCCAAAACCAAACAAACAAAAAACCCCAAACAACCCAAACTGGCTGGAAGCCCCTCAGCTGGTTGTCCTTGCAACTAGTTCTGCTTTGGTGGAAAAGTGAAAACTGACAAATGGATTTAGGCTTAAAAAAAAACACAAAACCATCCAACCATCCAACCAAAAAAGTCAGAGAGTTCCTAAATATTGCAGTAGTGAGGATGCTACAAGATGTTGGCACTAAGCAAGGCAGACGGGATTTTATCAACATCAGCTATTTTGGGGAGCATATTTTAGTAACTTAGGGGATGTGACTCACAATTCTTGACTTCTCATGTGCAATGCTTATCCTGCAGCAGCAAAGTCAGAACAATGTTATCTTCCAACATAACTCAGCTTCAGCTCAGAAGGATCATCTCTGTAGTGCAGTGGTTGATCTGTCCCCTATTGTGGGTTTTACCCACTATGAAGGAGATAAAGAATCTGGTTTCTGTAGGCTGTAACAGAGATTACTTAATTTACTATCATTCAGATGCAATAAAACTGAACATCATCCCTGCACTACTCTTACTTAGTCATTTCTGTATGCACACCTGAAATTTGGACAGTAATGAAAATGCAGTCCCATCTGTATCCAAAAAAACCCCCAAAACAAACAGAACCCAGAATTATGATCTGTGACTCACCGTAACAGCAGCAATGGTATCTTCCTTTTCTCTTTTGGGATCTTTCTTCATTTCCAAAGCTCAGGAGAAATTGTGTCATAAACAAAACAGTCTGTCAGTGTGATCTAGGCAAGAAACAAACATAAAATCCAGACGTCTTCTGGAAGCACGGCAAGGCTGTATTCCAGCATGCTTTTCTACACTGATTCTCTGCTTTGAAGAATCTTGGGTTTTTCCCCCAAATTTCTACCAACTCGATCCTGTCTTTCCCCTGTAGATGCAGAGCCCTGCCTTAGTACAGATCCTTCTGGGGCACCAGAGGGCCAGAAATTTAATGGAATTGCCTAAATCCACATTTTACTCAATTAATATCAGCATCAGTGAAATACCATGGTGGATTATAAATCTTAAGATAGCACCAAGTAAGCATTGTCTTGAATCTGATGCATTTCACATCAGCCTCAGCGGTGGTACCAACAAGACTAATGAGGTCTCAGCTTCAGCATTCTGATGGCAGTTGTCCATTACAGCCTTCTCAAATGCAGTTACCAGAAACAAAATGGGTAGAAAAGCACCTGGGAAAAACACCAAGAGAGAAGGTTGCTGTCCCTCATGTGCAAGGGAAATGGCAAGATTCAATCCTGATTTTTCACTGCCCTTATGAGGACATTCGACCCACTCAGCAGACAGTAACTCGAGACTGCTGCACTGCAAATTGCAGAGGGTAGACCCCACACCTCAAGAGATCAAGGTACTCACCTGGGAAGAGACGTAGGTGGCTCTCAATCCAGTGCATGTCTCCAGTGGACGTTAGCAACACCAGAAGGCACCTACAGCTTCACTGGGGCCTGGCTTCCTCCCCCACCCTCCCCAAGCAGAGCTCAAGTTGCTGTCTCCCCTTGGGAGTCAGGTCATCCAACCTCTTCAAGCCAATGATAAAAGAGGAACACCGCCATTCAAAAGTCCTTTAACTCAACCTTCATTCAAAACTACACACTGAATTTGAGAGCCCACACCCTCACACACTTCCAGGTCAGCCAAACCGATTATTTTCAGAGATTTAATGAAACGTTATCCTGTCTTTGGGTTTAAAATAAAGAGATCAGATGACTTTTTAACTACAACAATCACAATGGAGACTCTGACTGCAATACTGTTCGCTTTTCCAAAAGAAGCTGCATTCCAGGATTTTCTTCAGTGTTAGAAATACAACTTCACACTTGAGAAGGATACAAACACAGTACGAGTAGCCTGAGTCATTGACCCCACCACTATTGAATATTTCATAAGTTTCTGATTAACCTGTAAAAATCACTACTACTTTCAAGCCACTGCTACAGATATTGAACAACATTAGGCCAAGAAACTCTCTCTGGTCAATGAGAATCAGCCTGCTTTGTTGATTCTCCATGTAAAATTAGTTTGAGGTTTTCATCTATTTGTTATGCACTGACTTTGCTTGTAAATGTATTTTAAAAGGACAGGTAAGGCAAAACATATTAATGAGAGCCCCTTTGGTTTATGATAACTCTGTTATGAATGCAGAATCAAATAACAAACAGTACAAAAAACATTTAATGCAAAGTTAAATACAATACAAACTTTATTAAAAATAGGTTGCAAGTGAAATACAGTAGAAATGGGAAACTACAGCAGTTTTGATGTTTTTCATAATAATGCACAGACAAATATGAAAAGCACTTTTACACATATTCACACTTGACCTGAATGCCCAATAGCGGCCAAATCCACTCGACTGAAGGTTATAGGTATTTTTTTTGCTAAGCCTTTTTCAGATTCTAGCAGCAACAGTAATTCAGCCACAGCATAAGTTTTTTTTCCTTAAGAAAAGTTTGTCACTGTAAGGCTGCTAGTGCTCTCAAGATAAATTGGGAGAGGCTTGCTTTTCCTGATTAACAGACACAGCAAGCATGCAGATCCTTCATTAACACTTTGAACCAGTTTAATCTTCTACTTCATATTTAACAGGTGAAACGGTAAAAGCACACTTTCAAATAAGAAACCTGAAATACGTAAAAAATATTTACACTCCAATTTTCATTAACTTGCATTTATTTATCATACAACTCTTATTAAAAGTGATTTCTTTCCTAAGGCAGTGAAAGTCTACCCCTTTGTATTTGGAAGTGTGCACAATTCCCTAAATATATATTTATAAGAGAACAATATGATACAGAAAAAAAAAAAATCATCTAAAGCCAGTAAAGGGCTTTGTCAAATAGAAAATTTGTTTGGAATCACAATATATATTGTCTTAACATCACACAATGAGAAAAAACTCTGATGAGGTCCTTATTCCCAGCATCATCAGCCACATATGCATAGCTGAAGAAATAGCGGGAAGAAAAAGATTAGCAATTTAAAATTAAATAAGGCTATAACAGTGTGAAGAAATAGCTTGAACTGCCAGAAGGGTTTTCAGTACAACAGTAAGAGGGTGTCAGTAAAGCCAGTCAGGCTAAAGAAGCGCTTGCGAGCGCGGCTTCCTCAGCGCCAGCAGAGATGGTTCGTAGCCAGCACACCAGCTCTGCTGCCAACTTGACCAACATTCCCGCTCCCAGCCAGCAGCGCTCTATCTGATGCTTCTCACTTCAGTCTCTCTCTAATATGTCACTTCACTTCTCCATAGAAAAAAAAAAAAGAGATATTGCTGAACTGATAACAGCAGACTTACCAATACTGTTCCATGCCTCATTGCCTAGTAACTGCTAGTCTACCTTTCTCAGAAAACATACCTATCTGTCCTGCTCACCTTGGAACTGGAATCATTACTCATCACCTTCAACCCATCGCTAACATTTTGGTCTTAGCTGATGAAGGGCCACTGGTGTAGCCTACTAGCTATTGCTTATGTCATTTCTTTAATAAGACAATTATCCAAAGGTTTTATCTTCACACTTCACTTTTATCTTGGAAGTCTGAAGCACATACAGTGGGGATGCGTTAACACACAGACTTTTCCATAACTACAGGTACATTCTTACACAACCATTTTAGACCCAACAAAAACAGAGGACTAGAAATGTTTTTATTCCAAGGTTTTACCTACAGAATGTGTGTCATTCCAGTACTAAGTAAGGGTAAGATCTGTATTGATATGCTGGTCATTGTATGTACACCATACAGTATGTCAAACTTGCATATGAAGTCTTATTTAAGGTGGCCCAGATACTGTCTTCTTACCAAACAGCCTAAAATACTAATTTCTAGTGCACAGTTTCATTTAGGCAGTTCAAGCTATTCTCACTCTCTCTGCTCAGCAGCTAAAACGAAAGTGTGTCTGTAAAACACCAGGTAACAGGACTTATCTTTGACAAGTGCTACTTGGTCTGGTGCACAAGAACTTAACCCCCAAAACAGAAAGAAAAAGTTACCTTCACGTGATTCATATCTTTAAAATTTTACAGTGCTTTCATTGTATAAACCACAAGCTCCTGGCAAAGTAATCAGTTTTCTTGCTATTGCAACATCTCTAAATCTTAATTAACAGTCTTAGACATAGAGGAATCAAAGTCGCTCCTTTCAGAAAACATTCATTTTCTGTTCATTAGTAGTGTGCCCCCCCATCTCAATCCCTCAGTTTAGAGATCTTCAGTTACATCTGATAAGGTGCTTTAATCTTATTTTGTGTTCAACTCATTTTCCAGCTCCATTAATTTCCTAGAAGCTTTTACTTTATTGGACACATCCTGACCCTGTGAAAAAAGTCGCTGGCGTTCCCTGAATGTCAAGTTTTCTGGTGCTCCAGGTAAATCTGTATCTTGACTGAAAAGGGAAAAAGAAAGTCTTTGTTATAATTCTTATCTACAATATCCTTAAATATAATAATTCTCAGTGACATATACTGACTGGTAGCTCTATTGACTACAGCAGAAGATTCTCTACTCAGTGTTCTGCAAGGTTTTGTTCCCCACACACCTTTAATTCTGACATTGTGCTACCACTCAGACAAATTACAGGCTCATGACCATCACTGGCACATTAACACGAATGAAACTGCCTGCCAATTTTCAAAGCAACATACAGGTGTAAACTAAGGCTCCGCCTATATTAGGATGGCATTGCTGTTACCATTTAATCAGCAAGCCTTTCTGTGGTGGCAAGTGTCTAGGAAAAAGCACTGGAATATAAAACTTTTATGTCTTGGTAAACAAAGCTATTCATGCTGAGGTATGCTGTAGTAGCTGAAACACTTCTGTATTTTATTCTATACTGGCAAAGCTTCCAGGTGCAATTGTTGCCTAAGCTCTTGCACTTATCTCTTACCCTTGTAGAAAACTGATTTTTGTATTATGTGTTTCTGACCACCACGGTGAAGATCTCAAATCATTCTTAGCTGTAGCTGCAACAACACTTTACGTACATGATTAACCCTCATATAATAAAGCTTAAATATAAGTGCCAATTTTGCTGTCAGAAGAGGTTTTCACCTTTAGCTCCAAAGACGTCTCTGCTCTGCACACTCCACTGAAACATTGGCTACATTTAAAAATGCAAGAACTGGGCTAGCAGCTTCTACAGAATCCCAGCCAAGCCCAGTCACATCTTCAGTATGCTACGCAATAAAGCTTGCCACTCACATACAGGACACAGCCCACATTATTCACGTTTATTACAAATTTGGTAGGAATCCCACTTGAGAGGTACTGTTTAGATCTATAAATACACCTAAAGCAGCTGAAGTTGTTAATTTACAACAAGCAGTTCACTCTGTTGTAGCACTGAAGTTTGCTGCTGTGAAGTAGCATTTCAGATCAACTAGAGACTTGTGGAGAAGTTAACTGTATTTTATAGTAACCCAAGATACTCCAGAGCCAACTGCAGAACTCGTAAATAGCCCACACAGATACAAAAACAAGAACAGAGGCAGAAGTTAGCCAAGTCAGATGTATAAAAGTTCATGTCACCTTTTAGATCTTTTGTCTCTTGGATCTCGATAAACTTCATGGGCTCCAACAGCTGCTCCTGTAGATCCAGTGTATGAATTTATTCCTTATGCAAAAGAAAAAGCAAGTTGAAGGATTACAGTTACAACATGAAAATTTTATATTGTATTTCTTCAAAAAGGTGCAGTGCTTCTTTCAAGAAATAATCTCAAACTAGAATCGGAGATAAATTTAGAGGGCCATCTGACCTCTAGAATATTTTAAAATCAGTACTACTAAACTCCATTGTCCCCTCAAAACAGCTGTAATTTTTTGTTCTTAATTGAGTCAGAAAAAAGTTTTGTTTAGATTATCAAACACATACCAAATAATGGTCTTTATCTTATTATAGCTCACTGTAAGACAGACATTAGAAGTTGTCCAAGGAGACTGATGGAAAGAGCAACATACTTCATAATCTTCTAACAAGCTCCACAGGAAATAAGTTAGCTGCAGGTGCTCTCTTTATGAGGCTAAAAGTAAGCTAGGATTAGTACACACCATCTTTGCAATTCGACAGTCAGAATTTCTGTCTGTTTAGTCTGATTAAATAAACTCACTTAGAAAACAGCGCTCCCCCCGTATTTTTAAGCAAGTACCTTGCAGCACTGCACCTTTAGTTTAAGTTGATGTAACACACAGGTTTTACATATTGTATTAATTCTTTCCAAAGGCCACAAGACAAAACCTTTTCTTTCCAATCAAAAAGTTTAATAATTTAATCCATACTTAAGACTATATTCTCTTAACTCTCATGAAAAGAGTAAAAATAAGCATCAGCACAATGCTTGGATTTGTGTTCAGATAGTACTGGTCTCAATATTGTACATGTTATGTCTTGTGAACCTTCTTCAGTACAGAAGGAAATGTCTGCTTCTTCCACTGGTATACAAAGCTTCTCATGAACATTCACTAAAACAGACATACGAAGCTGCAACACACAAACAAATTTAGCTACTGTGTTGTAGGCTAATTTTTTGTCCACAAAAAATTTGTAGCAGGCCAAATCATACTAGGTATGCCAGGCATCTGAAAATTTCTTTGGGTTTTTTCCTCCTTTCAGACACGAGTCTTACATGCATACCAGTACTACCTTCCCTACTTGAAAAAGTCTGGATCCACATCCTGCGGCTCGTACTTCCACCCGTTTCAGGGTAGTAGTTTTGATTTGGGTGTTCGCTTTTTTCTTAGTTGGCAGATCCAGTGGTTTTAAGAGGCCCAGTGGAAGAAGGCATGAACAAAATTTGCAGAAGCGTGGTTTACTAGAGTTAACAGTCAGGACAGAAAAGAGCTGTAAAGGACAGTAATGTAACAGAGTCAGCGAGATGGGAGATGGTAAACTGCACAGTGAGTTCTGCATTTTGTGCAAACGGCTTTGTACGTTACGCAGGCAGTCTTCAGAGAAGCTTGAGCAATCAGGTGAAGTTAACCTGTTCTCATGGCTAGTTTAAAAAATTATGAAATAAGAGTATTCAGAATTAGTTGTATGGTTTATGAATTAGGTTATTAAAGGCGAAGCATCGTACTACAATATTCCTTAACTGTTATCAAAATCCTAACCAAATCTTTGTAGGTTGTCCTTCTGATTGTTTTCCAGGAAAAACAAATGTGCACACATACAAAAAAATATCACTGAACATTTCACTTTCTTGAGATTCATTTTTCCATTAAAGTTAATAGAAGCCAGGATTGGGAAATGCAATTACATATGAAATGGCATTCTGGGTCTTGGATGATGTGAGGCAGGAAGA